TACTATAATATAATATATTATAGTATAGTATATTATATTATAGTATATTATATTATAGTATATTACATTATATTTATTATAATGCTGTACTAAAACTGTACTGAAAAGAATAGAGAGAAAGGATGGATCAGAAAGCTGGAATGGAATGGAATGGAATGGAATGGAATGGAATGGATAACAAAAACCTGTGACTCTCAGAGAGTCTGACACAGCTGGACCATGGATTGGTCATTAAGTAGAAACGATTCACACAGACCAGTCCAAGATGCACCTGTTGGTAAACGATGTCCAGACCACATTCCACAGCCAGCAGAGAGTTACTGCTTACATTGCTTTTCTAGCTAGAACAGGACAAAACTCCTAGCAAAGCGCTTTCATTGAACACCACGCTGACGTGCCCGCTCTTGCAGACATGGCGAAGCGCGTGGCCAACGTGCTGCGGGTGGTGCTGAGCCTGCAGCAGGGCCCCGAGCCGGGCCCCGAGCCCGCGGAGCCGCGCGTGCCCCTGCGGCTGCTGGCCCCGCACATCGGCCGCCTGCCCATGCCCGAGGACTACGCGCTGGAGGAGCTGCGCGGCCTCACCCAGGCCTACCTGCGCGAGCTGGCCCTGGCCGCGCACTGAGCGCCGCTCCGGCACGCCGGCAGGGCTCCGGGAAGGGCGGCGGAGGCAGAGCTGCCCACGGGAAACGCTCCGAGCGCCGCGGGCACCGCGCCTGCGGGCACCGCCACGGAGGGGCTTCATGCATGAGGAGTATCGAAAGGTTTTTATCAGAAAAATATAAATAAATGCTCTAGATTATTTTCCTGTCTTTTTGAAAACCACAAATAAAATGTTTATAGTACTCCCGTGGGTTCCTGTGGTTTTTAAGGCAGGGTTTGGGTTTGTAGGTGTGTGTTCTTTGCTGTGTCAGCCCGGGCTGGGTGCGTGGGGGGTAAGGACAGCCCAGGAATGTGATACAATCCCACCTTACCTTCGGTGGTGAGCAGGGTCGGCTCCTTCATCTCGGGAGGAAACATCACTCATCCTGGAACCCAGATAAACCAGGTTGTAGCCTTTTGGTACTGAAAGGAGCTCGTGTAAAAGCTGCAGAGGGACTGGGGACAAGGGCTGCAGGGACAGGAGCCAGGGAATGGCTGCCAGTGCCAGAGGGCAGGGCTGGATGGGATCTGGGCAATGAGGAATTGTTCCCTGGCAGGGTGGGCAGGGGCTGGGATGGAATTCCCAGAGCAGCTGGGGCTGCCCCTGGATCCCTGGCAGTGCCCAAGGCCAGGCTGGACACTGGGGCTTGGAGGCCCCTGCTGTGGTGGAAGGTGTCCCTGTCCCTGGCCGGTGGCACGTTCAGGTGACACTGGCTGTGTGCAGGGGCCGGGTCACTGCGGCTTCGCCTCCTTCCATTACTGTAATTGGGCCTGAGCGGCCCCGGCCCGGGCGGGACGGGCTGGGATGAATAATTCACCGCCTGGAAACAAAACCTCCGGCCTCAAAACCGCTCGGCATCTGCCGCCGGGGCTCGGCGTGGGAAAGGTGCCAGGAGGCACCGGGAGCGGAGCCGGCGGATTCCCCGGGGCTGGAGTGGGGATGCTCCGGCACCCCGAGCCCGGCGCCGCTGCCCCTCACCCTCCCGGGATTTTCCTCCCACCGAACGGGAACGATCTGCCTCTTCCCTTCCCTTGCTCTTTCCCGAGACCGGGATGTCTCTTACTGCTCCCCGGGCGGGGGTCACTCCGCTCCGGGGCAGCACCAGCCGCCCTCGGCTCCTCCGCCGCCGCGGGGTGCCCGTGTCACCGGTGCGGTGTCCCCGTGTCTCGGGTGCGGTGTCCCCGTGTCTCGGGTGCGGTGTCCCCGTGTCGCAGGTGCGGTGTCCCCGGGCTGGGCAGGTGCCGGGCAGTGACAGGCACCGCGTTGCTGCCACCAGCGCCTCCCAAACCCACCCCCGAAGGGGCTCAGCTGCACCCGGAGCCCACCCCGGCTCCTGCCCCCTCCCAGCCGGGACCCGCGGGGGTCACCCACCGTAACCCCTCGCCGAGGGTGCCTGGGGGGCCGTGCCCCCCCGCTCTGTCCCCGCCCTGACGTCACCCGGCCCCCCCGTGTCCCCGGACCTGCGGCGGGATGGAGCCCGGCGCTCGCCTGTGCCTCGCCCTCTGCCTCGCCGGCGTCCTCCCGGCCCCGGGTGAGCAGGGGGGCTCGAGGGGCGCGGACCCCCCTCGGGTGCGGGGGCGTCCCGGTCCCTGGGGCAGCATCGCCCCGCAAGCAGGGAATCCCGGGGCTGGGGGTCGGGCTGGGTGAGGGGGGACGGGGGTCCCGTCGTGCTCCCTGTCCCTCCCAGCTGCCGGAGGGTCCCGCGGCCGGGTCCCGGGGATCCCTCGGGAGGGGTCCGGCTGCACCCCGGCCCCTCCAAGCCCCCGCTCCGGGTGTCCCCAGGCTGCCGGGGCGCGCCGGGAAGGTTCGCCTACAAACTGCTCCACGAGCTCTTCGCCAACTACTCCAGCGCCCTGCGCCCCGTGGAGGACACGGACCGGGCGCTGAACGTCACCCTCAAGGTCACCTTGGCCCAGATCATCGACATGGTGAGCGCCCGGGCACGGCACCGGCACCGGCCCCCGCGCCGGCTCCTGCTGGACCCCGCGCCGACGCTCAGCCCTTGAAGCCAGCCCGGGTCCGCCCCCAAAGCAGCCCAGGCGGCCTCGAGTCGGCTCAGAGCACTTTGCAGACAGCCCGGTTCCCCCCAAAACCAGCACGAGCCCCTCGAGCCCAGCTCAGCTCCGCGGGGCCCCCGGGCTGGGGGCCGAGGGCAGTGGGGCGGCCCCGGGCTCCATTCCCCCACGCCCACCCTCTCCCCTCGGCAGGACGAGAGGAACCAGGTCCTCACCTCCTACCTGTGGGTCCGCCAGACCTGGCTGGACGCCCACCTCACCTGGGACAAAGACGAGTACGGCGGCATCGACAGCATCCGCATCCCCAGCAGCTACGTCTGGCGGCCGGACATCATCCTCTACAACAAGTGCGTGGTGCTTGGCCCCCAGGCTGCTCCCGGGGCCGGGGGCCCGGCCGGGGCTGGGGGGCTGCACGGGGTGCTGCCAGCCTCGGGAGGGGGAGCAGGAGGGTCCTGGAGGGGGAGATGCAGGGAGAGGGGGCGCGGGGGTGCTGGCAGCAGCCGGGTGTGCCTGGGACCGACCCCACCACCGAGGGCACAGCCGGGGGCTGCGAGGGGCACGGGGAGGGGATGTGGCCCCACGGGCACCCCTCCCTGCCCAGCGCCGACGAGCACTTCGGCGGCTCCATGGAGACCAACGTGGTGCTGCGCTCCGACGGGCACATCACGTGGGACTCGCCCGCCATCACCAAGAGCTCCTGCAAGGTGGACGTGTCCTACTTCCCCTTCGACGGGCAGCAGTGCCGCCTCACCTTCGGCTCCTGGACCCACAACGGCAACCAGATCGACCTCCGCAACCAGCTGGACACCGGGGACCTGACGGACTTCGTGGAGAACGTGGAGTGGGAGGTGCTGGGCATGCCGGCCACGAGGAACGTCATCACCTACGGCTGCTGCTCCGAGCCCTACCCCGACGTCACCTACACCCTGCTGCTGCGCCGCCGCGCCTCCTTCTACATCTTCAACCTGCTCCTGCCCTGCATCATGGTCTCCTTCCTGGCGCCCCTGGGCTTCTACCTGCCGGCCGACTCGGGGGAGAAGGTGTCGCTGGGGGTGACGGTGCTGCTGGCCCTCACCGTGTTCCAGCTGCTGGTGGCCGAGAGCATGCCCCCCTCGGAGAGCGTCCCGCTCATCGGTGAGCCCGGCGCCGGGCTCCGTGCCAGGGCTGGGGTCAGGGTTTGGCACGGGGGGCAGCGGGACCCCCGTGCCCCCTGCCAGCGCCCGCTGCCCCCACAGGGAAGTACTACATCGCCACCATGACCATGATCACGGCCTCCACCGCGCTCACCATCTTCATCATGAACGTGCACCACTGCGGGCCGGGCGCCCGGCCCGTGCCCCCCTGGGCGCGCCGGCTCATCCTGCACCACATGGCCCGGCTCTGCTGCGTCTACGAGGTGGGCGAGAGCTGCAAGAGCCCCCGGCGGGCACCGGGCGGGCGGGCGGCCGCGGGGGATGCCGGGGGAGCGGGGGAAAGCCCCGGGGAGGGGCAGGTGGGCGCGGAGGTGAGGGGCTGCCCCTGGGACCACTGCCTGTGCCACCACGACGCCCTGCTGAGGAACGTTGGGTACATCGCCGGCTGCTTCCGGCGCCACCGCGCCAACCAGCGCCGCACCGGCGAGTGGAAGAAGGTGGCCAAGGTGATGGACCGCTTCTTCATGTGGGTCTTCTTCCTCATGGTCTTCCTCATGAGCGTGCTGGTCCTGGGCAACGCTGCCTGATGGCTCTGCGGGCCGGCACTGCGACCCCCCGGGGACGGCGGGGGCTGCGGGTGCCTCATGAGGGTGACACAAATGTCCCTGGTCCCCCCAGAGCGGCAGGGCGGGAGCTGCACCGTCACTGGGGAGGAGGTGCCCGGGAGTGGGACCCCCAGCTGCAGGGGGTCCCAGCCCCTGTCCCGCTGTACCAGAGCGGGCACCCACATCCCCCGTGGCATCCTGCACCTGAGAAATGCACCAAACTGGAAATAAACCGTGGAACGTGTGTCCTGCCCCTGCTGCCTGGGACAGGGGGCTGCCCGGGGCAGGGTGGCCCTGGCAGGGAGGGGGGTCAGTCTCTGAGCCCTGGCTGAGGGGTGGGGCTCCCCAGGAGAGGGGTGGGGGGTTTCCCACGGGAAGGAGTGCAGGGCCCAGCGCGAGCTCTGGAGCTGCTGCCCACCCTGGCCAGGGCAGGCTGGTCCCGTGGTCCATCTGTGCCACCCAGCCCAGCCTGTGCCACTGTCACATGGCAGCCTGGCCCCTCAGGGAACCCTGCCCTGCCCCGGGAAGGGAAGGGAAGGGAAGGGAAGGGAAGGGAAGGGAAGGGAGATGATAAACTCTCCAGGACTGGTGGGTGTTGTGATGGGGGGAGGCTCTCCTGGGCACAGCGAGCACCAAAGGAGGAGTTTTGGATTCTCAGAGAAGCAAGGACAGAAGCAGCACAAATGGAGAGAGATGGCCTTCGGAAGAAGGGGCAGCAGAGCAGGAGGTGACAAGGGTGTCCTGAAGTCCTGCAGGAGAAAATGAGAAGTCCCAGCAGCTCTGGATGAACCTTGGGAAGGCCTCCTGGAGCTCCTGGAACTGCGTGGGGAGCTGCCATGGGGGCTGCAGCTGCCCAGCACTGCCTGTGTGCTCCTGGGTGGCCCCACGGCTCCACTCGATAGCCTGGCACCTGGGCATGTCCCCTTTGTCAAGTGGCACTCACATGTCACACAGGGGCCCCTGCCTGTCCTGTGATGTCACACAGGGGACTCTCCCTGCCCCACACTGTCACAAAGGGGCCTCTGCCCACCTGCTGGGCTATAAAAGGGACCATGGGATGCTGTGACACTGCAGACTGGCATCACCAGGGCTCTGCCACCCCAGCCAGGTTGGGGGCCCCGCAGGTCACTGGGGAGCCTCTTCACCAGCCTGTGCCAGTGACAGGGACAGTCCCCAGTGGCCGAGGATGCCGAGGGGCTGCAGGGCGGCCCAGCCCGAGGTGCCGGTGGAGCCGGGGCTGCTGGGGGGCAAGGAGCCACCGCAGGGCCCCGGAGAGGAGCGGCCCGAGGCGGGCACGGGCGGACAGGACACGGCCGGGGCCGCGGGGCGAGGCAGCGGCAGCGCCCCGGAGCCGGAGCGGGGCAGCGGCCGCACGGCCCTGGCCTGGTTCATCCCCGGGGACGTGCTGGTGGCCGAGGCCGCGGGCTCGGAGGGCAGCGGCAGCAGCAG